CATCTTCCACAAAACTGCTTGTTCACCTCTCTTGCTGATGTAGTTCCCATAAAAGGTTATTTCTATTGCAAACAGACGGTTGTGCAAGACACCATTTCAACAGTGTTATCGTGAAGATCTGCATAAGCAGTTTTTATGGAAAAAGAAGCAGCATTTTTCACAAGCGTGGCAGGACATAATAAACTCTTCCACTCAGCCAGGAAAATAGCACACTTAGAATGCATTCCGTTGGCAAAATCAAAAGATGGTAACTTCAGCTACACCTCACTTCGTCTCTATGAACTAGAAAGAGACAGGCACCTGTGACATAGCATACAGCCCTGTACTATGATTCACCAAACTGCACTTCCCTTTTTGCCTGTGCATCTGTGGCATGCCTAGACCTGAGCATTCCTAACTAACTGGGAGGTCAAGAGAGAGCAGGACAGTTTTTGATTGAATGGAAAGCTCTAAAACAGTGTCAGGAGACGTTTCTTTTACTGTACCAGATATAAATATTACTTAAATATGCTCTACTTGTACTTCTGTGCGGTATATAAATGAATGAATCCAAATGTGTAAGAAGAGTATGGAAAAGAAAAACACAGCCCTAGAGTTCTTGCACTTCAATCATTTCCCTTTCCTCTGCTTTTCATTTATACTTTTGTCCTTCCCTTCCAAACTATATGTATTTACAACATATCAGAAACATCTGATAAGCACAAATTAGATCTTCAGAACTACAATAAGCTGTTACACAGATGTGACACAGAGATCAATCAGGTCAGTAACAGTGTGGCCCAGATGCTTAAGACATGGTCTCGGGTCACCCAGCCAAGTGAAATAAGGTGTCCTATTCCAGCTACTATTTGAATCTAACATCCACACAAAATAAACACTCATAAAAACTGTAAGTCTATATTTCTTGCCTCATGAAGAAGTTTCTCTTAGCAGCTTACTTGATAAAAACATACAAAAATGCACATTATTTTTGACACTATACTAAAAGAAAGCAAGAAAAGCGGTGATGTTACAGATTTAAAGTCATTATAAAAATATGGAAATATATTAATGAAAATAATTCAGAGTTTGGAGAGCTGAGGTTATTATGGGCCAAATTAACTGGGATGGAAGAACAAAAATATGTTCAACCATACAATAAGTGCTCTATTGTGCATTACTTAAGCTTTATAAGACATATACTCCTACCTTCTAATAGATGCCATTCGTTTATCACCTTCCTTAACAGGAAGGACAACTTTCCATCTGTGGAAGGCCCCTGGAGCACTAGAGAAAGTCAGTTCTTCGCGCCATCTTTTAGGTGCAGATTGCATTTGAGGTGAATAATGGGTGTCTTTTTCAATTTCATATCCCCATTCGTACGTTGTTTCATCAAGCCATCTGCCACTTTCAGCACTATTAATTATGTACTCCTTAGTTAGTACCCACTTTCCTAAAAAGCAAATGAACTGTCAACCACAAGAGATTTTTTTTGTGCAGACAAATGGCAATCAGCTGAAGAACTAATATAAAATTAACTTAAACCTTTCTTGTGCAAATAAAAGCTGAAATTATAAGTACCATTTTAAAAACTTCTTCCTGTTACAAGAGTTCTCCACTTCAGACTTTAGAATCAAAAGTCTCACAATGCCACTGAAAATGATCATTCTGTTTTCTTTTACCGATGAAGTGCCTTTTTACCCTTCCTAGATAAAATAATTGTCTATCTCCTCAAAAATCTCCAAATACATCTTTTCAGCTTCCCAGATTTTGTTCTTATGAATTCCACAGAACCTTGGCAAACACTTTATTTTTAATACCATTTGACACTTACACAAATATACTAAAATGAAGAAATATTATACTACCAATGATTTAAAAGACGAAATAAACTTTTAGCATGTAAGCTCTTTCTCACATATATTCTCAAAATTACTTGCACTGCTAGTGTAGTGAATATCAATATTCGGGGGACACAGTTTTAGACTTTTTTCTTTTCCCTTTCTTCTTTTCACATCCTTTTCTCTCATCCCTTGGCTCCACCTCCTCCGCCTCTCCTCTTTCATCTTCTGCATGTATGCTTTTGATACAGTATGTAATGATCTTCCCCTTTTCTCTGTCTCTCTCTTCTTACAGGTTCAGGTCAAGAGCAGTGGTTAGTATCCTGCTCTTGTATTGAAACACTACCTACAGAACACACTGTAAGAGAAATTGACTTGAATTGCGAGAACCTAATTGGTTTCACAGAACAGCAGGGTTGACTAGCAAAATGTCTTAGTGCCGGAGCACAGATGGTACTTTTACAAAACCTAGCATAGGTACCAGTAGACTTATGACTGGAAAAGGTATGTTGTGCACAACCTGCATGTTAAAACCATTTCTACTTGAAATTTCCATGTCAAAACTTCTGTCAGCACAACAACTGGCATCCTTTAGTATTACTGTTCAACCCTACAGAGTTCTAAATGTGTTTAAACATTATCTTTCTTCATTACTTGCAGTAGGAATGAATACACTGTCTCTGCCATCAAGAGTAAGACCAATGATTATGCAAAAATGGCACCTCTTCAAGATTAAAAACTGCTAGATGTTATTGTGGAAGATTTGTAAGTAGAGAAGCATGATAGAGTTTTGTATTGCCATGTGGACATTACATATACCACTTCCACTCTGTTCAAGAAAACATCTCCACATGTTTTAAATTCCAAAAAGTAAGAAAACATTAACTCAAAGGTTCAGAATTGTTAAAACAAAGTGCTATGCCAGAAATTTATAGGCCTTTTTTATATTGTTTCCCTCATGGAAACTTTTAGTTATTTCCTTTTTGATAAGAGTGAGATGAGAATTTTACATTAGTACAAGGAATCATCCATATATATATACACCCCTGCATACAAGCATGAAATCAAGAAATTTATACATATCTTTAAATCCAAATACATGTTTAATTATTTCTGTCTATTATCTCTTAATTTAAGATTAGCCATTCTAAAAATTGCTTTACCACTTTGTTATAGTATTAAATAGGGAAAATACAGATCATGTTAAAATTAGTATTGTGATATCTCATAACTACAAGATAGTGTAAACTCATCATAGAATCCTTACCTGTAATCAGTCTATAATGAAATCTTAAAATACAGAATTCTCATTCCTAAAGCATTTGAGTTGCTTATGTTTGGGACTGCAGCATCAGGCCACAGTTAAACAGGAAGCAAGAGGAAAGACCAGAGGCTTATGTCAGAATGGCAGAAGCCTGGAATTTTTTCTTGCTGCATAAACAGGAAATTAGAGACTGAGCTTTACCAGTGAATGTTGCATAGGAATTTGGTATCAAAAATCCACTCCAACTATGGGTGTTCATATTCTCTCTGCCTCCTTTTAAGCAATCCATTTTTAAGTGTCCATGTAATTTGCTTATGACTGCAGGATCTAATATACAACAACATTTTCTGTTTGGTAACAGGTGCAGATCCAACAAAGGGAGAGAGCAGGAATACAATTTAGGAAAAAATATCTAAACAAAAAGAAGTAAATCATAACTTGAACATAATACTACATTAAAAATCGAGGTTAATGGAAGAAGAATGAGTGTTTGTAAGACAGTTCACTCACAAAATGAAAACAGATAACCCTTTTAAGTCTCCTTTCCAGACCCAGCTGTGATGCTATGAAATTTAACAGGAAACCTTTTACTCACCAGCAGCACAGGCAGCTAAGATCTTTTCACTCTTGCACAGCTTTTTTGCTACAAGATGTGTACAATTTCTGTATTTCTAACAAAACAAAAACAGAATAACACACTTGTATCACTGGAAACAGTTTAAATTCCTTGGCTATTTATACACAACTAAACTACAGCACAGTCATTTCTTTTAAGGCTTGCATTTCTACTTTCTGCTCTAACCCTCTTTTCTGTGCTTTGGTGAACAATACCTTACTATCTATAATAACACATTTCAGTTTAAGCAGACATTTGAGCAGGGCCTTTTTCTCTTTTTCTTTAAATCCAGTTATTTGGATTATCCGTTTCTGGCTGCCACTTCCCATCTGTTGAAAGAAAGAAGAACAAAAAGGAAACATTAACACACAAAATACACACCACGAAAAGTTGCCTGCAAAGTCTGACTAGCATTTCCTACTTCTCTTCCATTGAAATGGGAAAACACACCGAGAAAAAAGAAAGCTGCCTGAGGCGGTATACCACATTTTAAGCTCTCACTGCCTGACACTGTTAAGACATCTCAAAGGCGGTAACGCGGTAGTCCTGAGACGCCCGAACTGCGGCCTGCAATGGGCCGAGCCCCCCCGGTCTGGCATCTTGGCTCTGCACCGGGATGCCCGTAGGCTCGGCCTTTCAAACCCTTGCTCCGCTGCTGCGCGGACCCCGCAGGTGCGGGGAATTTCTTTACCGCCCGCCGGGGCGGAAACCCGCCGCCCCCTCTCTCACGAAACCGCCACCGAGGTGCGGCGGGCTGGCGACGCTCCCGGACAAGAGCTGAGGAGCGAGCCCCCATCGCTGCGGCGGGGGAGCCCCCCGGCGATCACGTACATAGGCCATGGGCGTGGGGAACAGGCGCTGTGCTGGAGCCCTACGGCTCCTCGATCCGGCCCGGCCCCGTCCCCGCTGGACGCTGCGCCCCTCGTTCAAACCCCGGCGCGATCCCGCCTTCCCCCGCCCCGCCCCCGGATGTGGCGGAGCGGCCGTTCCGGGACGTTGTCACGGACGCTCCGCTGTCGCCGGGGCTGTCGGCGCGGAGCCGCTCGGTAAGTGGCTCCGGCGGGGCTGCCCTTCCCCTGCCCTTACCGTGCGACCCGAGCGGGACAGGGCTGGGATCCGCTGCGGCCCCCCGCAAAGCTCCGGGGTTCCCCGCGGCCGCCTTCTCTCCTCCGCGGCCTGGCCGGGCGCTGCGCAGTTCCCAGGCTCCTCGGGCAGCCGAGGCGCCGGTGGGTGCCCGCCCCTGCTGCGGGAAGGCGGCGCTGGTGTCCCTCTGAGGCGGCCCTGGCGGCGCGGCGCTGCGGGCCCGGCTTTGCACCTCACCGCGGAGCGGGATGGGGCGGTCTGCCCTCTGACCGAGAGGAGCGGGTACTCCCAGGGCTAGGGGAGGCGGGGACAGACTGGGGGCGAGTGGCGGAGGGCGAGCTGGGAAACGCGTCGGCGCTGCCTCGGAGTCTGAAAATCACCATGTCTGTTGCTCGGCAGAATTAAAATTGTGGAAGGCGGTCTGATAGGGGTGTGCTGGATGACGGAAGAAACCTCACAGAGTAGAGGAAGCTGACAGATGAACCAGGTGGAATTCTATGTAGATGCAAGCTGAAGTGTTTCTTCTGGAACAGACTGACTATGAAAGTCAGGAAAGGGGCCAGGGATTTCTGACCCTCAATACCTCAATTTTCTCAGTATCTCTGAGAAACTTTCGAAGTGCCTCGTGCCTCATAATGGTTGGTCTTCAGGGCAAGTGACCAGATACTGCTACAGCCAGATAATCAAACCACATACCGGGATTTCTGCCCCGTTAGTGAAGGGATTCCTGCCCCACTGATCGAGTGGGTGCAGACTCTTCATTATGAGAGTCAGGGTTTGTTTTTTTAAAATTACAAAAATTACAAAGCTTGTATCTCAAGCACTCAGTTTAGAATTTAGAAATGTAGAAATGCCAAGATGGTGATTGTTCGTCAGATTTTGTTTTGGTGTTCCACGCTTTATTTTGGTCCTTTCTGTGTTTGAGAGATGACTTTTGACTATTCCTGTGTCATGCAGTGCACTGAATGGATAGTGCACAAGAAATCTGTTAATGCTTTGTAGTGAATAAAAGTAGCTTTTTAGAACACTTTTATTCCTTTCTTCTATAACTTGAGACTAGAAGGCACACATCCTGATTCAAATGGAATCAGGAAAAAACTTTCCTGAAAGCAAAACTGTCACAACTGCTAAGTTTTTGTCACTGCAGCTTAGATCAGTGGGTGCAATGACCATTGAACTCACCATTGCTATAAAGCATAGGTACCATATGTATTCCTTTGGAAAGAAAAGCCAAAACCACCTAGCTGCAGACATCTAAAATTTGACAGTAGGTTGGACACTTGATTTTAAATCTGAATTTCCCAAATATCACAACAGAAGAACAGTTTTTCCAGGCCTCACATGAGTCCTGTTTATGAAGTATTCTGGTACACTGAATGCTTACTCAAGTTTTTCCTATCTTTTGTTTCTTTAACATTGCAGTTATATTTTTGTATCCAAGCATGAAGAAATGACCATCAACAACCTTTGTCATTAGTTTATTTATATAAATGACACTGAAAAAAAATCTTAAGGATTCAGAGTTAAATGACTACATTTATTGCTTGTGCTTCTTGACTGACAATGAAGATTAGTTGCATTTTCTGTTTTGTATCTCTTGCATCTTTGTACCTTCTCTATTGGTTTGTCAAGACTGTAAAGGTATTAATTTAATTCTTTTAAATTTTATTTTAAACAGTTTAATTCTTACTAACTGGGACTAGCTACTAATCATTACTGAACCAAAAACTGTTAGTTTTTTGCCACAGGACTGTGTTAGACACCAGCAATTATTGGGTCAGAACCTCTTTATGGGGGGGGGGGTGGGGCGTGTGTAGAGGGGGAAGGGATGGGTCAAACCTCACAGAGGTGGAGTAGTGTTGTATCCCTCATGGCAGGCCCCTGGAACCCACATGGGGAAACTCTGGAGTAGCTGTCAGTCACAATAGCCCGGGAAAACTATAACACACCACACCTCCTGGAGCTCCTAACCCAGCTCAAATTGGCAGGGACAGTGAGAACACTGCCCCTCACCCTGGCCTGGAACCCCAGAGTGGCTGGTGGGTCTGGAGGGGTTGGCCATAGACACCAGAGCAGATAAAACCAAAGGCATGTATTTGCCTTGTGTCATGGCCCTGCCATTGGGATATGTGAGAGCTGGTCTTTCACAGGGTTCCAGTGGTAGCTGTCTCTTCCTCTTTCCCCTTGTCTCTTCTTGCTTCCTCTACTTCTCTTTCTTTGTTCCTTTCTTGCTGTTTTGGGTGGCTTGGAGCTGGAAGGATTGGATTCCATGTGGAGGGATTGGATTCTGACTTACATGTTGTGGAATAGTATTTGCTGGGTCAGTATTGTGGTGGAACATTTTTGTCTAGCTTGTGTGGTACACTTTTGAACTTTTTGCCAAGTTCCCTTATTTTCTCCCCTTAGTTAATAGAGATAGCTCTTGGGAACAAGTCCATGGGTTATTCTCTTAATGCTATCTTGAGGTATTAAAGAACCTTATATATATATATATATATATATATACACAAAAGTAAAACTCCCAGCTAAGCCCATGAGCCTGCAGCTCTGGGGCTGGAGTGTTAAGGACTGGAGGAGTCTTCAGCATATAATACTGTAAACTAATTCCTGGTGAAGAAGTTGCATAAAACTGTGAAGCTATGTCTGGGGAGGTTTAGGTTGGACACTAAGAAAAGGTTCTTCTCCCAGAGGGTGGTTGGTCACTGGAACAGGCTCCCCAGGGAAGTGGTCACAGCACCAAGCCTGACAGTTCAAGAAGTGTTTGAACAACGCTTTCAGGCACATGGTGTGATTCTTGGAGATGGTCCTGTGCAGGGCTAAGAGTTGGACTTCAATGATCTTTGCAGATCCCTTCAAACTCAGGATGTTCTATGATTCTATAATGATGACCATTTGTTACCTATAAGAATTAGGTATTTTTTCCTTGTCTCTGGCACAAGTGTGTGGAATCAAAATAACCAAGGCCTCAAGCATTTCACATCTAGTTTCACTTTAAAATACATTGTTACTAAAGTGTAGCTTTAAGCAGTTACATTTTTTAACTTTCATTTTAGGGATGTCTGATAAGTTTAGATTTCACTTACTCTCCAATTCTATTATTTTTTTCATAAAAACCCTAAAATATTTTCTTCTTTTCCATCCTTGTTGTGATCTCATTATAGTAGCCAAGTATCTCTTAATATTATGTTGCATAGGTTCTAGGGAGTAGGCTTTTTAACTGATGTACTTTTAAGTACCTCTATGTTCCTTTGTTCTTTTAATGTGTTTGTCAAATATATGGTTCAATTGCTCAGTATTATACATTGAATTTGAGCAGTTTGTCTCTGGGTTTTAGATGGTATTCACTTCTACACATTCTCTTCTACACTGCATGTGACGTCTTTTATAAAAATGGAGAAGTGATTTTCAGTGCTCCACAAAAGGTGTGTCACTTCTAAAACTTCTAATTGCATTTTAAGGACTAGCAAGAATGGCCGTACAGCTCTTATGTCCTCAGTTCATTAAGAAGCCATGATCAGAGAAATAAATATTCCTTTTACTCTTTTACAAAAAGAGTTTACTTACAGTATATCAGGTGCCCATCTCTTTTAGACTTTCTTAATGTTTATTACCTAGGGAGACAAAGGAGAAATTCCATTTTCATTGCACTGTTCTAGCTTTCTACCTTATAGTTTTTGCTTCCTATATATTCTACATATAATTGTATTACCATTATGTCTTTTGCCTTGAAATTTCACTTCTTACAATTCCCAGAGATAGCTAGTTTACTTCACATAATATGTGCAGTTACCTTTCTCCAGGCCTCACTGGTGCTGCTGCTGTTAATGGGATCATTGTTGATTCTTGTCTATTAGTCTCACAGCCTCTTTCTGCAAACCTCTTCCACTTTTTCCTTAATTTTGCAAGTTAATGTTTTCCGTTTGGGGTTTTGTTTGGTGTTGTTTTTCGTTTGTTTGTTTTTTGTTTGTTGGTGTTTTTTTTTTTGTGTGTGTGTGTATGTCTGTTTTTTTTTCCCTCACAAAACTTTTGACTTTCTGTGTTGAAAATTTTATGTAATTACTTGCAGCAATTGTGATAGTGATAGTCCATGCATAAGCATCTCTTCCGTTGTGAAATATGTCAGATTTTTTATCTAGTGTAAGATATTTTGCATTATGTGCTTAAGATATTTTCCATCCTGTAAACAAGTTTATCAGTTGACTGATTACAATTTCAGAGGTTAATAAAATTATTAATTGGAGCTTTTTTCCTTCTGTTGTCTAAACATAACGTGTATACTTTTAAAAACAGTATCATTTGACAAAACAAAACTCACAATGCCATAGGCAAATTTTGGTCAAACATTTAGTAATCACAGCTTTGTAAAAAAACCAACCCTGAAATTATAATGAAAAATCAATCATAAAAGCTAAAACAGTATGAAGTGTCTCCACACTGCCTTCATGTGGAGAAAAGTCTAACTTTGTGCCCCTTTAAGTCCACTTTATAAGTCCATCTTCGGTATGAAGCACTGCCTCTGGCTTTGTTGAAACTGAAGGAATTTCAGTTTTCTTCTATAGTGGTAAGGGATTACAAGAATTAGAAATAATATAATATAAGTCCACAGAAGCTAGAATAGCTTCTTAATAATAATAATAATAATAATCATAATCATAATCATCTTTCTATAAATGTATCTGTAGTTTATTTCATGAATATAGGAAAGGCGGAACAAGCATTGTGAAATTTGCTGGTTTTCTTCAAGCCTTATTGATTATATAAATTCTCAGTTATCATAACTTTGTACTTATTTTTAAAAATATCTTCATGTTCTTTTCAGGATGTATCATTTGTATTTCTTTCATGTAACTGTTTTTGTTCCAAAGAATGTTTATTTTTCTGATCATTATTAAAGCTCAGTGTGTCTTCTCATCTCCTTGCATTCATCTGCCCTTCTGCCAACTCACATTCCATTAATGTAGGTCAGTGAATCAATGTTGATGGACAAATGAAGAGAGCACAGTGTTCAGCAACTTATTCAATAATTTTTCTGTACATGAGGCCAATCTATATACTTTATGTGTATTAGTTCACTTGTTAATGACATAGTGACCTGTATTTTATTAGTGTGCTTTCAGTTGCTCATGACTTGGACTAAGGCTTTGTTTGTTTCTTTCTTTTAAAATACAGGTAATGGAATGGTTTAATTTTGCATTTAATACTTAACTTTCCTACCACATAAAGTTCACATGAAGTTCAAATTTCTTTTCTTTGCCTGACATGAGTTAGTCCCTCGCTGCTTGGACCTTCTTAATCTTATTACTGTTCTTCTGCCCTGTTCTAAATCCTCCGTACCTGCCCGGAATACTTAATTGACCTAATTCCCACATTGACTTTCTAGTATTTTTTCCTACATAGCAGATCCATTCTGATATGATCGGCAATTTTTCATTCATCAAAGTCCTTTCACCTTCCTTTTTTTTTTTTTTTTGAGAATGCCCGTGAACT